CCCTTTTTGGACCGTTCTAACAGATTCTGACTTCCTGGGTAGAAATAAGTTTCCCCAAAGGATTTTTAGGAAATGTAGGTTATCTGGCATTGCCCAATAGCCCTGCTTGGAGCAGGGTGTTGGACCAGACGACCTCCTGAGGTCCCTTCCAACCTCAGTTATTCAGTGATTTACTTTAACAAAGGGTGAGTTCAAGGATGGGGCAGAGAAAAGAAAATCTCTCTACTTGGGAAGTCAGAGGAGGAACGACTATAAAAACTTGGTATGCTGACAAGACCCAACAGAAATAACTATTAGAGGAACTCTGTCCCATGCACAGCGAGTGCATCTCGACTTGGCTTGCCTGTAAGGGAACAAGCTATACAAATGCAAGGAACTATATGTCTAAACATACTCCACATGGAAGACATATGGACTCCTGCTACAGAGCCAAAGTCTACAAAGACATGAGAGAGGAAGTCTACTTCTACTCATGCAAAAACGACCAACTTGTTATCAGAGTTTAAATTATTACAGCTACTGCAGTAACATGCAGGGGATAATCAAATTGTGAACGCCTAAGTCTTGAGTTGGAAAAGACTTTTTGGACACAGCTTTTCCAGAAGAAAAATAATTAAGAGCTAGGCAGATTCAATGCTGGAAACATTTCATGGGTTCATGCTATATTTGCTTAAGTGTTTTGGTAAACGTTCCCAGAACATTTCACTGAACCATCTTCAAAACAAGATTTTTTTTAAATAGCAAAAATGAAATGTTGCTCTCAGAAAAAAAGTTAAATGAATTTTATTCAATTTTTTTTTAAATCTAAAGTATTTTAATTTGAATCAAACAACCAACAGTTTGCTTCCTCTTAACAACTTCCCTCCCCAAAAAAACACCTTTTCTTGGCAATGTAAGCAAATGGAAAAAATCGGCTATTTACACAGCTTCAATTCGGATGAACCCCAAGTATTAGATACAATAGAGATGGCAAAAACTACTGTTTGACCCAGCTCATTCTCCAGCCATTGCTGGATTGTTTTCGTCTCTAACTTTTTTCACTTCTTTTATCTAGTCCAGGCTTAAAACACTTAAATCAGCAAGCGGCTCGGCTCTGATTCTGACTCCTGCCAGAAACCAGCAACAACATATCTTTGCTTGAGGGCAAGAGGTTTGTTGTGAACACTCCTGGTCTTTATCATCTATACTGAGGTTCAAAAAAAAAAAAAAAGATTTTTCTTTTAGCAGTTTTCTACCTGGACAATATAAGCGGCCACTGAAACAGTGCTTTAGAAGAAATACTTGGATGTTAAGAATGTCTACTATAAAAAAGAACTTTCCTGAGCATAGCAAAAGGCAAGAGCAAAACTTTACCACTGGCCTTTAAGCAAAACAGGACAGAGACTGTGCGGCAGAGAAACCAGTTTTCAAACAACTCTGAGAAATGGGCATTGGAAAGGGTAAGAAGGAAGCAGAAAAGACAAAACACAGCTCTTATCTGTAGCTGGGCTCCGTGCAAGACGTTCACATGCTATTGCAATAACACAGAAAAATATCAAGGCATGAATGATCCATCTGCAATGGCCAACTTTAACTATTAATATCTGAAACCAAAGCTGAGGACTACAGTATCCACTTTTAACTGCCTGGAGCACACTAAATCTGACACTGTGACTCAGGCTGTCTGTCCCTAGTGTGAGGAACACGGTAAGGAAGAAAGAGGTGAGGAGAGTTTATTATTAATAAAGAAGTGACGCTGACATGAGGAAAAAGGGCTGGAAGGATCCTGCTCACGGAGAGGGGAGGAACATACAATTCGTAACTCCAAACCTGACCTGCACATGGGATATTGCATACGTGTCATGTTTTACCGATAAAAAGAAACAGCAGCTTCAGAGATGCTGAGGCTGCTCTTAACACAACACTGCACAGAAAGGGCGCTAGGAGGGAAGCAAAAGATCTGCAAGTGTGATGCGAGTTCAGTGTGTGGGGGACCCAGGGCAGGTCTCCACGCAGAAGTCGCATTTTGCTCTCAATTGGACAACTCTCCCCAAGATTTTCTGCTTAGCATCCTAAGAGGAGCTAATGCTGCAAATCTGCTCAAGGTATTTTAATGAGCTGGTCCTTCACAAGTTACAGATTCTGATTGACAGAACTCCTTTCTACGAATGAGTAGCTAGGATTTCGACCTCCTTCACCTTTCCTCTGTACTCATCACATCATGTGGTCTTCTCAAGATCCCTGTTTATTTCAGCCAGGGTTATACGGTGATTCAACATCTCCTTGTAAGAGAAGACGCATCTCTCTCTGCACACTCCCCACCTCCACAAAAACATACAAATGGAAGTAAAAGAACAACCTATTTTCTCGAGGACCCTTTTCCAGATGGATCTAGGTGGCAAGCCTCAGTTACGTGCCTGCAAACCACATGCACCATCTAGCCACCCCTTCACCACGCTTACATTTTAGCTGCATCTGATTTGACAGCTTCTGGATGAAGGGAGTTTTCCTCAGCTACAAGGAGACAAAGATGCACAAGGCCACACGCTTGGACTGCGACCCAGACAGATGGGTTTAACATGACATTGCACACTTGCAATTAAAGCTTCATCAGAACATCTCAGAAAGCCACTGTGAACATCAACCCGGAGCAAAGAGGGCAGGCCAGTCGCAAGTTTGTACAGCTTGTGCTCCAGGTAGCTTGTGTCGCCAGCACCTACGGATGCTCCCTCAGCCCTGCTCGGCAATACCGGGGAAGTAACATCGCAAAGCACATGGGTGTGCAGAAGAGGCCGAGTTCTGCAGACTCTGACAGGAGGGGAGAGTCCCTCCCTGCTGGGCAGGATGTGGGACACTCAAAACCCTGACTGCTGCTCAGACCTGTGCTAGTCAGCAAGCGGCGGCAGATGGAACGGGTTAGGCCCCTCGAGGCTGCCTTGAGTTACTAATTACAAAAGGTTACTGATTACTGTCAGCACAGAACAGTGAGGTTTGCCGCTCTCCACCCCTGCTGATCCAGCACTTTGGATGCTGCCAAATGTCTGGGGCTTTTTTTTTTTTTTTAATTTGAAGTTTAACTCCACTTTCACCAGCTTCCTGAAAACTGGGGTGGAGCAGAAGAGGGGAGAGCTGGTGCAGTCATCCCCTCCCTCTCCTCTGGCCTTGTAACGGAGACTCTGTTTCTAAACAGCTTTCTTGGAAAGTGCTTTCCAAAGAATCCACCTGAATCGTCATACAAGATTCAGCCTTCAGTAGTCCAGGACTCTCTCTTTTAAAGTGTTGATTGGGGGCTGGGCATGTTTTGTAAGGCTGACAGCTACCTTCGACAGAGCCTGGGCATTGTCTGTGCTTGCTGGTAACTGGATTCATTCCCATTTTACGTTCAATATACTTGGCTTACGGCTCAGGTCTTTTAGAGTTGGACTAGCAATCTGGGGTGCCCAGTTAACGTCTTAGAAAAGAGGCTTAGGCAGTTGGCAGATGGTTGATCAATCCCTTGCATGAAAATCATGCATCTTTAACTGTTTTTTGACCCTAGTTCAGAAGCAGGAGTGTAAATAAGATTCCCAGAGTCCAACATCACTTTCTACTTACGGGCACCTGCTCGATTTGGTAGGGCATCAACTCTTCCGTTTCCTGCCACATCCCTAGTGAACGTGCTGTAGCAAAGCAGCGCCAGCGTGGAATTCTGGACGAAATAACGTGCTCTTCTAAGGGAACTCAGGGAGCTCGTATGTTCAACGCGGTACAGACGGAGGCGTGTGTTTGAACCAAGACACACTGATGTGCGAGGAAAAGGCTTCTGGTGGTTGAATCGTCATCTCTAACCAGTCTGCTAAGTTCATCCTGGTAACTGCATCCTCGATACTAGCTGAGAGGAGCACTGTGTTACTTGGAAGGTGACCAAGGTATGAATAAGGATCTTTGCAGAGGCAGACTGCACACAATTGCAGTCTGGCAATGTTTCAAGAATGGCAGAAGGCAAACTTTCAGACCAACAGACATAGAGAATAAATACAAGGTTCAGAGAGGTTGCTTATGTTTCTGGCCATAGCAATAAGACTGAAGTTTGGACTGAAGAAGATGATGGAAGGTTATAATGAAGTTAAAATCTAATGGACAGGAAAAGCATAGTAAGCAATCAAAGAAAACCTTTAAATAAGATATCACTAACTAAAAATAGCAATAGCAGCAAAAGTGAACAGTGACACGACTGGTGAGAGATCACAGAATGGAGCCTTTCATCCAAGTCAGTCCCTCTGCTCTAAGCAGGGTCCTTCCTGTGGCCCAGGAAGGGTGACCCAGGCCCCACAGGGCACTAAATGAACACAGAGGTCCTGCCCTCTTTTCCTGCATGAGGTACTTCCTTAGGTCAGGTATTTCTAAGACCAAAAGAGCATATGGCAAAAATAAGGTGGGGCAAAGAAAGATTTATGATGCAACCTCTTAATAAAGGCTGAGATGGAGAATATTTTCACCGAAATAAGGCAGAAGGCAAGAGGAAAGATGATTCCAGCAAGGACAGGGTCAGAGAGGCCAGGGCGTACTTCCCACCTCCAGCAGCACCCTCCTGGGTTTCTTCTGTGACTCAACAGCCCTCACGTAACATGAAGGGCAGAAATCCTCCCTTCCTCCTACCCCATGTACATTTAGACCACACGCTCTTTGAAGGCAGAGTCTTTCCCTTGCTACAAACTAAGCAAATGCAACAAGACCAGGTATCATTTAAATTTCTCAGTGGTACCAGAGCATAAACAACAAAAGCACAAATGTAAACAAGCTGTAAGAGGGGATGAGTGCTTTTGCTCATGATGCCCAAATAGAGTAAGAAAAACTTAAGAGTCTGAAAGGTGCAATTCACTAAAGAAACATGGGAGTAAATGAACGCAACAATCTTTTGATCAGTAGGAGAAGGGACGTATTATAAACTGGGCCAACTAGCTCTACAGCAAGACCAAAAATCAGAAAATCAAGTAACTGAAAAAAATTCACAAAGCTATACCAGGCCAAATCCTCTGCCAAATGTAGGGAGAGCTGATAAACTGTGTCTATACTCATGCAAACAAGCGCAGCAAACTTGAATGCTTTGGCTAAAAGCTGTCCTCAGTGCAATGTCAGCTGCGTGCATTTACCTGAGCAGATGACAGTTGCGGCTGTCAGTGTCTAAGTAGGTCTGATTTTCCTCCATCTTGTATTTCCCAGCCCTTTGGCTGTTGGACTGCTGGAAAGGATATACCCAAGCTGTTTGGAAGCTCTCTCTGGCTGTGATATCATCACTGGTCTCATCTGACTGTTTGATAGCATCCCAGGATATACGAATGGAAAGTCAATGCATTAGGGACAGAGCAGGCTTGAGGAAGAGGGATGTTTTGTCAGTCTCGGATCAGGAAAAGGCTGTAATGAAAGCCAGCAAGGGAGTCTGTCCTGTCCAAGGAGAATATACTGGGATAGGTACCCAGGGAGGGAGAAAAAGCGTTCCTGCACACCCAGAGAGGGGCTGCAAGACTGAGCATGAGACTTCTGGGGTGGGGTGGGGGAGACACATAATTCTGCAGTTAAGCCACCATTCTCCTACCCAAACATACTCTGTCCTTCCTCTCAACAAAACTGAAAGTGTGGCACAGGGGAGAAATGGAAACTGCAGGAGATCAAACCACTGGCAAAGAGCTGCTAATAACGTATGGAGACCAGAAATATCTGGCTTGACAATACTTCCTCCAGTGCAGTTTTTAGGCTGGTAAATCGTTCTTTAAAAGCAAATATCTAATGAGAGAACGCAACATCATAATTAATGGTCGCTTTGTGTTGCCCTCCTGAGCAGTCAGAGCTAACAATAAATGATTGCACCCCCTGCTTTTTCAGGGTAAACAGATCCTACAACTGAATATCTGTAGGAAGATGTTTCTTACGACAGTGAGACATTTATACATGCAGATTCATGCTGTTTTAACTCAAGTTGGGTGTTTTTGTGCTGGCAGCACTAAAACATTGCAATTAATTCCCCTCTTTTTTTTTTTCTTTTTTAAAGTGATTTCTATCAATTCAGTATAAGGCAATTTCCTCTTGGCCGGAAGATGAACTGAGGCGAGCCCTTCGAACAGGAGCAAAGGTACCTAGCACAAAACAGCTTCCCCAGAGATCCAGCTGCTTTTTCTGATCTGGTGGGCTGTGCTTCTTTGTCATATCATGCGTTTCTCCCAAATGCATTAATGCAAACTGACTGTCAGCATCGTTAAATCTTCATCATCCTCCCCACCCCACCACGTAACTAGTATAAAAACGTAAAAGCGCAGTGAAACATCAGTCAGTCCTACAGCATACTGTCATCATTGGTGAAAGACAGAAGCTCCAAAGAGGAGCTGAGCAAACCAGACCTACGCTAGAGGTCTGTGGAAAAGGTCAGGGGGAGACACTGTAAAATTAGAGAGGCAAATCAAAATAGGAGTGTCAAGAAAGAAGGGAGGGTGGAAAGAGGGGAGCAGAGAGACAGCCAGAGTGAAACCAGTAACATGATGCTGAATAAGAAAGAGAAGCTAGAAAGGGGATTTCACATGCAAAATTAAAACACAGTGCAATAAGGGAGTATTCAGATCACCTTATCACCTTTCAGTCCATGTTCTCCAGGGTTTCCCATCAGCCCCTGAAACAAAAGGAAGTCCACAGTGAGACTGAACCATCCTGAAAACTTCCCTCAGGTCCATGATATCGACATCACTGATGGGGTTGGCAACTCAAACCCCCAGCACCCACATCCACCTGGCATAGCCCCGAAGCCGAAGGCCAGGCTTCTCCTGAAGCACACTCCATCGCACGTTCTTCAGCGGGGTCTGGAATTGCATAGGAAAAATGCCTCTGGCTTTCTCCAGTAACTTACACCTACTGCAGACCACCAGTGGGATGTTGCATTCAATAGTCCTTTGCCTGGGTCAATGTACAAATGCGATTGCTGCCCGCCCTTTCCCTCTGACAGTCACTGTCACCCAAGCAAGGAACAGAACAATCTTCAGTCCTGCTGTGGCCAGACAAGAGCTTGCAAGGCTCTCTTATTCTCTCACCTTTAAGCCTTTTGGTCCTGGATAGCCTATAGGTCCAACAGAGCCCATGTCACCCTAGTAAGAGGAAGAAAATTATTAGTCATTAGGTGCAAAACTAACAGATACCTATATGTGGTATGAAATTCCTCTCCTAGCAGATCCCTCAGTATCCCTCAGTTAATGGGAGCTGTACCACTGCCTTCAGTCCTGGCACTAGTCAAGAAGTTTTTAATGTGTAAACAGCTTCTAAGTAAAAAGGCACAGAGCGTATGCTCACAGCCATGTGGGGGAAGAAGAGCAGCTTCAGTCTGCATCCTGTTCTCACTGCAAAGAAGAGTCTCCAAAGTGCTCTGTGACTAGCAACCAGGGACATCATCCCCAACAATCAGCTCACCCAGCCCTGCAGTGCTGCTGTGCCCAGACACACATACTATGGCACCTGTTCAAAGTGTGCAATGCCACGAGAACATGTGAGCATCCTGGTCCTGCTTCCACAGAGACCTACAGGCATCAGGGGAGTACAGTCAGACTCCAAAACAAGGAGCATGGGTCAACTTCAAGAATAGATAAGGAATTCAGCTAGTAAGCTGATGGTAAAATAATGGCAAATTAATTAAGAAATCAGCTGCAAACTCTGAAGCTGCTGTAGCACCTGAAAATTTTTCTTATGTTCTCTCTAACTTTTGAATAGACAAATGTCCCTCTTCCACTATTTGCAAAACTAAGCTATTGAGCCATCTTAAGACAATCCTGGAGTGCATTTATTCCTGCTAAAGTTGCTCATCTCCTCAAAGAATTCACCATGGTATTCCCTCAGTCTCAGGAGGGAGTTTGAGGGTGCGTTAAGACAGAAGCAAACAGCAAAGAAGGCAACACTCAAGGCATTTGAATTCTAACCCAGCTCTGACATCTAAGACTGATGGGCAGAAAAGAGGAGAAACAAGGAGGAAAGGACATAGAGAAGCCTCCGCATCTTGGCCATTTGCTGCAGAGAGAAGGCAGCATGGTATGATGTATCAGGACTCGTACAAAGAACTGCAACACAGAAGGACGTCAGAGTTCGTGTTTTCTCTGTGTCTGCATATGCATATATAAAAGAAAGCCTTCAATGGACTACATTTAAACAGGCTTTAATTGCTTTCTCCCCATGAAGGGAGTTAGTGATATGGCGCACCAACCTTGCCTGTAACGTGTAAATAAACAGGGAAAGCTTTGCTGAACGAATACCTCTCTAGCAGGCAGTCACGGGGCCGCAGCCACACCGTGAGTGCTGAGCTGTGGCTGCATTAACAGATGCCCTTTTCATACCTCCCAGCATAAAGGCTTCTTGTGGAAACACGTTTACTTAAAGCTTTGCCCACACAGTTAATTAGGAGAGCAAGAGGTTTTAGTTGCATCTAATTCTGCTCTTCAGCCTCTTTTACACAGCGAGCCCAAACACCTGCAGGGCACGCGGAGGCAGCTGGGAAGCCAGGCTGGTCCCTGGGGGCGGCTGTAGCTGTGAAGGAAGGAAGTGGCTGAACCGGGGCCAGCCCGGAGCAAACACACGGGCTGCCATCTCTGCGGCCTCCAGCAGCAGCCCAGTGCCCCTAGCACTGGGGAAGGAGGCTGGCACTGTCCCCTGATGCAGAGAGAGAGGAGAAGGCAGGATGGGTTTGCTTCCTCCTCATGAGGATGGGAGGAAGGAGGAAGTCGCTCTTAGATCACTCTCACTAGAGATGCTTCAGCTTCCCGGATTCAGGAGCCGTGCATTCCCCTGGGCACAGGATCGGGCTCAGTTTGAGTCCCCCGCACAAAGCAGGCAACGAAGAGATCCTCTCTCTCCTTCCGTTTGGGATAGAGTGGGTTACAAAATGCCTCTTGCAAAACAGCAGTGCTGGCATTTCTCACATAGAGAAACTGAATCAAGGATAAAGCTCTTCCTAGCACACTGCACATGCTTCGAATCCCAGAGCCTTCACCCTCTTCTGCAGCCCCCAGTCCCCTTGCTGGAGACCCCAGGGTGGCCAAGGGGGTCTGCGTCACCGCTGCGCGTCAGGTCAGTCTGCAGTGCCCAGAGAGATGGAGGAAGCACATTCTTGAACAGAGAGTGAGGAGAGAGGGGTTAGAAGGCCTCAGAGCGCACACGGGGAGCCCAAAAGCTCCCATCAAAGACAAGGAGAAGTGAAAAAACAAAGTACAATAGCCTGTAAAGTTAAACTCTGTTTTTCAAATACTATGATTTCCTTTTGGGGAAGGAAAAATTCCTACAGAGAAAATTCTGTGCTTCTTTAAAGTGAACGCACAAGTTTGATGTCTAGGGAGAAAAGACCTCTCGTTCTTAAGCTGCTGGTCTTGAAGGAGACAATCCTCAGGGAATACATCTGTCTAAGACAGGCCTAAGGAGAGAAGAGGTTCTAGGAGGGCCTAAGGCTCTTGCATTGCTCCAAATTTTTATCTGCTTGGAGTGGTACCAACAGACAAATTGGGAAAGACAATAGCGAGCCGAATGCTACCACTGCAGCAAGTGATCTCTGAAAACCAGCATTGCAAAGGACTGACCTTCTGCCTTAAAAGCATAGCTAGGAAGAAGCTCACAACAGAACTGATGATTTCTTCATCTGGAAAGGGAGGGAAGGGAAAGACTCAAAGTTTAAGACAGACTAGGGTTAGTAGCAAAAGAACTACTGGTTTTGCCCTTTCTCAACAAAAGCATTAGTGCTTGGGGTGTCGCTAGAGACCAAAATAACAATGGATCAAGACAGAGAAGCAATAGACTTTAGATGTCTGGGGAGGGACCTGACTCCCAGCATAAGTCAAGCAATGCTGGATCAAGAAAAAAGCAATTTGATTACACCTCAGAATTCGGTGCCATCTGGGTTGCTGCAGCCAATGTGGGACAAAAACATAACAATCCCAAAGGCAGGATAGATACCGCACTATTTCCGTGTGCTTTTATCATCATTTCAAATCAACCCCAGGCAAAATCTGTTCTTTCCAGCCTCTGTGATCTGCTCCAAGCACCTGATGGCATGGCACTGACTAGTCCAGCTAGGAAGGAAAGACAGGCAGCCTCTACCTCTATCATTGCTGAAAAGCATCCTAGTAACATTTATAGGCTCTGAACTTTTACCTTCTAAGAAATACCGGTAGGATAACAGCAATCAGGTTAAGCTAAGTCTTCCTAAAAGCTGGGATTAACGTGATCTCATTTGGACAATACCTTCAATTATATTCTTTTAAATAGCAATCTTCCTCTTATAGCTCTTTGCTAGGAGCGCATCCTTTCTGCTAATTTGGCCACAGTAGCTTCTTTTCATCTCCAAGAACAAGGGGAAATAGAAATCTAATTCCCGACTCCACGACAGACTGCTTCAGTGGCCTTAAGCCACCTTTGTCCCAATCCCCCATCTGCAAGATGGGTACGCTTATTCCATCATGTGCTCTGTTTCTCTTCAATAGTCTAGGCCTTCTGGGTGGTTGCGTGGTGCCTAGTACCACAGAGGCCTTGATATCAGCTGACATATATGCTGCTGCGATTTAAATTATGAAAAGGCAAAAGGAGACAGGTTTTAACCATTCACTGCAAGTCAAATTATCATGGATTATCGTAAGTGAAGAGGAATCATTTTGAAAAAAAATGCTTTAGCATTAACAGAGCCTACCACTTCTCGTGCATGGAAGGAAGTAACTTGAAACAAGTACCGAGCCCTAAAATAAACTAGAATATGTTCATCTGGGCATTCACTAACGCACAGCACAGCTGCCTGGGGATAAGCTGCCACCCATCCTTAGAGCCATTTATGTCCTGCTGAGGAAGGGTGGAACACAGGGTGGAATTTGGCTGTGTATGTAATTACCTGGATTAGTGATGGGACGGGGAGAGTGCATGTAAAATTCCTGTATACCCAGAGGACAGACTGTTCCTGCACACGGTCCTTCCAGTGAGCAAGAACCGTGCATCCTTAGGCTACTGCTCACAGGGACTTGTTTTTCAGAAGAAGACAGGTCCTGGTGCGGAACAAACACTACGTCTTTGAAAAAATACCCCTAGCAAATATTATCAAAAGGGCAAGTTATCTAACCATAGGGGCACTGACAGTAAAACCTTAATCTTTTCGCTTTTGCTTAAATAGGGTTCGCCGTCCTCCACCTCCCACTCCATCAGGCAGCCTCCTCTCTCCCCCAGAAGTCAGGCCTTTAGCTGCCCTCCTCCATACAGAGTCATCATATTCGCTGCACTGCCACAGGAAGGAGAAAATCTGCGCATAGTTTACGCACGCTGAAAGGGTTAAAGCCCCGAGAAGCCAGATCTCCATTTGTTTTTGTACTTACAATGAGTCCAAGGACTCCAGGAGGACCTGGGGCTCCCAATTCTCCCTAAAAGGAAAGACAGACCGACACAGTTACGGACTCTTTGTAGACAAACAGAGACTGAAAGGCAGCTCAGTGTTTCAAGGCTTGAGGGAAGGGAGAAGACTGTCCCTCCCCACTCCGTCCCCCCCAACAGCCCCTTCCCGTAGCCCAAGCGGATCTAGCGCTCCCATCTTCGAGTGCGTGCTCAGGGAGGAGGGAAGCCGCTCCGGACACAAGGCTACTTCTTGTTATGCAGTTATTTGCAGGACTGACTTC